TAACTTTTCTTATGGATGGACTATCTTCATGAAACTTTCAGATTATGAATATAACATAAATATGCATGTATTTGCCAAAACACACGATTGCAAATAATACGTTTACTCGCATGCATACACAAAAGACTTTTATTTGTATTTCACTCAATCAAACGGTCGGGGAATAACCTGAGCAAAATAGAAAGAATGTAACCGGTTGTTCTCCGAACGAGAACGAGCTCGACGAGCATTCACTTCAATCGGTTGCTCTCTGAGTTTTTTTTTCAAAGTGTGAGTGAAAGACACTTATTTACAGACAACCCGAAACGGTTAACAGTTATTTGCAAGCTATGCATCAAACACATTCTCTTTTGATAAACTACCGACAACAAATAATTTAACTACTTCTAGTAAACTTAAATAAAATAGTCTTGTACATACATATATCAGCGCATGGCATTTGAATAAAGTTTGTTATCACTCGAAAACATTCTTACCTAATGCGCATTCCCTCATTCCATTTTGGAAAGTTGCATAAAGTAATGCTGGCTTGTAAGATATTGTGACAGGATCAATATACTGTATTATGCGGTTAAGTATGTGGTGTAGATCCATTGTTAGATTTTCAACCACTTTTAGTTGGCATATAAAAAGTTAAGTTAAATCATTGGATTTATAAACGTTTACTCACATTTTTTAAGTCGCAGTAAACGCAGGTATTTGCGAGTTGGTGGTACCAGCTTGGTTAGTGAAGGTTGCGCTTCGCAAAAATTAATCAGCTTCTCACAATCACTCTCATCCAGTTCAGGTAGTAAAGATTCTGTATACAACCAATGTAAGATCGGGTTCAAAAGAAATGTCGGTAAATTAAAGAGGACTTCAACTGGCGTTAGCGGTGAAGACGGTGGCGTATCTATTAAATTAGAAAGCGGTAAAGAGCTGCGTGGTCGATAAGGAGACAGTGGCGGTCGGCGTGAATTGCATATAGCCTGATTAGTGGCTCCACTGCTTTGAAGAACAGACGACGACACAGGTTGCAACACGTCCTGACAAAAATTGAAAATATTTTTTGATTCTTGAGATATTTCCAGGTGTGATTCTGAATGCGAAGTACACACGCGTAGTAGTCCACCATCAGCATTGTAGATTGTTTCAACTGAATCTTTCATATTGACATTCCTTAGGCAGCTAAAACTACTGCTAAAATAGTGAAAACGCTGGGTTTCCAATCCAGCGGTTGGTGCAAAAAGTTGAAAATCGCAAACTGGCTGCATATATACGGAGGATAAATTAATGCCTTGCAAATTTGATTGTTCTTTTCCAGAATCAGCTATACCAATCGATATATTTATTGGATGTAGCTTTGATATATTTGGCGTAAAATGCAAAGGCTGCAAGTTTTCAGATGTTGACAGCAGGGTATTGCTTGCACACATACTACAATCGAATCCGTTAAGACGCAGTATAGAGGAATGAAGGGCGTATTCGAATCCAGTACAACTTTTGACTACTACATCACTGAAATAACGCTCCAGAAGCGCTTCACCAAAACTGAATTGCCTTTCCTGACCATTCGGTCGATCGTCCCGAAGCCTCTTGCATTCAACTGAATACCAGTTTTCGCAACTAAGCATTATAGAATCAGTTGGCATTAATGTACTAGTCTGTAGATACGGATAAAAAAAATAAGAATTTGTCTAATCAATTACCATATTAAACTACTCACACTAAATTCAATACTGTGTCCAGCATAGGCACCAAAAACGAGACGAGGATTAGTTTCGCGTACATCAAATGTTTCACAACTAAATAAAACACTTGCTATATCATTACAGGTGCTGCAATCAATTATTTCAGGAAGTGGACTAACCAAATCATTGTACCAGGTAATGTCGCTGGTATCGTCTAGGCGAAATTTTATTCTGGGAAATGGTCATTGATTATATGTATCTGAAAATGTGTACAAATATTCACCCTTCAAGTCCAGAAACCTCGCGTTTGCCTTCGAAAGTACATGAAATTATCTGTGTAGTTTATTATTTAATTTTATTAAATGAGTAAAAGCTTTGCATATAGTAAGTTAAACAAATT